ACTTTCCTGGCTGCTTCTTGCTCCTCGTGGCCCGACTGAGGGTTGCTGGGAGCAGGGGGCGGGGCTTGTTGCATGTGCCGCCCCCTGGGCTCCTTATTGCCGGAGCTCCGTTCCTGTGTGCTCCCGCAGGAAATGACCCCTGGCTGGATGAACGCTTGTCAAGGATGCTCTAGACTGATCCTGCATAGATGGCCTGTATAGCTCCTTCCAACCCTATGATTGTACGATCCTACCTCAAGCCCAAAATGTTTCATTTAATCCACTTCCTGTTGGCATTTGCCTTTCAGCTTTTAGGAAGCGAAGTTGGAGAAGACGTCAGCGTTCAAAATCTCATGTCCAACCCTGGCAGCTGGCGTGGGCGAGCGCATCAGATTCTTGTCCTGCAGGGCAAAGTAAGATGGCGTCCTTCTTTCCATCCCTCTTCCGTGCGATACAGTTTGCTCACACTCAGGGCCAAACTACATGTTATACTGGGGGTCCGTGATCAGACATCTCAAAGTGCACATGGGGCTTAGGGATGGGCACCAACCCGCAAACGAACCCTAATTCAAGCACAAACCAGGCCAGTTTGTGGTTCGTGAACCAGGGGTTCAGGAGAACATGCCTCCCACGATCTGCTCACGAACCTCCATGGAGACATGTTCTTGGGCTCCAAAGGCCACTTCCAGGTGGGCCGAACTCCACGAACCAGTTCATGCAATGGAGAAGTTCAGTGGAGGTTCGCGGTTTGGGGTTCGTGAAAACCCCGAACCACAAATCTCCAATGAACCTCCATTTTCCCAGTTCGTGCCCATCCCTAGTGGAGAAAACCTCCATTTTCCCGGTTCGTGCCCATCCCTAGTGGGGATGTGCGATCACAGAGATGCCCAAGTTGCCACGTAGTTTGGCCACAGCCTCCCCAGCTTGGATCAAAAACCTGGTAACGGGTTAGAGAGGATTTAACCCTTTCTCTCTGCCCCCCCCCCCGCTGTTAGGCGAAAAGGCACATACAATCTATGTTCCTGTCATTTTTTTCCTACCAGGACAAATAGTGGCTGGGGGTTGAATTCTATCCGGGAAATGACAAGGGGGGGAGCGTTAAACCCTTCTGAACGAAAACTGCCCAAAGTCCACGGGGGACAGCAAGTGAACTTGTGCAAAGCATGACATGTAGTCTGGCCCTGCTGCTAAGCTCAGCCCTAGCAGTGGCAGAAGGGGCCGTGGCTCAGTGGGAAAGCATCTCGTTGGCATGCAGAAGGTCCCAGGTTCAATCTCCGGCATCTCCAGTCGAAAGGAACAGGCAGGAGGTGATGGGAAAGGCTCTTTTTCTGCTCTAGGTCCGGGAGCTGGAGAGCCAGCTGGGCCACGGCAAAAGCAGGACGGCGCTGAGCTGCGGAGATGAAGACGCCGCCATCCTCACTGGCCCAGGGAAGACGTCTGCCCAGAGGAACCTGCTACGGATCCGGAGCTTGGAGAGGGAAAAGAAGGAAGCCCTGGAGGTGAGGAAGCAAAGGAGGGGGGGTGAAGGAAGGCGGGAGGGCCGTTGGGTTTCGACAGACAGGGCTGAGGGAAGGAGGCGGGGTCTCAATGCTGTCAATCACACAAGGGATCCAGTCTGGTGTCGTGGTTAGGAACACGGACTCTAATCCGGGATGACCGGGTTTGAGGCCCCGCTCCTCCACATGCAGCTGCTGGTGTGACCCTGGGTCAGTCACAAGTTCTCTCGGAGCTGTTCTCTCAAGGACCGTTCTGGAAAGAGCTCTCTCATCCCCACCTACCTCACAGGGTGTCTGTTGTGAGGAGAGGAAGGGAAAGGAGATTGTGAGCCGCTGTGAGACTCCCTTGGGTAGTGAAGGGCGGGGTATAAATCCAATCTCCTCCTCTTCTCCTCCTCCTCCTCCTCCTCCTCCTTCTGTCAGTACAGAATGCTGCAGCTGAGATGGTGAATGGAGTGAGTTGTAGGGGCCATTATCACTCCAGTCTTGGCTCTCAGTCTCTTTCTGGGCATAATTCAAGGTGCTAGTCATGACTTTCAAAGCCCTATATGCAGGGGTCATTTCGTAGAAAAAGAGGTGCAGGAGCTCATTAGCATAATTTATTAGCATAACTTATTTGCATATGCCACACCCCCTGACATCACCGGAAGTGTGTCAGAAGGCAACACCCACCGCTCAGACTCCACTGGACTGTTTTGTATTGCTAGCTATGGGGGGGGGAGGAACATGCAGATCTGTCCTCGCAGAGGAGGGAGAGCTTCTACCTGAATAAAACTTGGTCTTAAAGGTACCACTGGACTGTTTTGGACCGGGGGTGCGGGGGGAGCTCTGCAACTCACCTGGCTGCTTCTTGCTCTGAGTTAGGGCTGCTGGGAGCAGGGGGCGGGGCTTGTTGCATGTGCCCGCCCCCTGGGCTCCTTACTGCCAGAGCTCCGCTCCTGTGCGCTCCCGCAGGAAATGACCCCTGCCTATATGGTTCAGGGCCAACACACCTGAATGACCGCCTACTCCTTTATGAACCTACCAGATCCCTGCCATTATCTTCCAAGGCCCTGCTTCAGGTGCTCCCACTTTTTGAGATTAGATGGGTGGCAATAGGGGACAGGGCCTTCTCAGTGGTGGCACCAAAACTCTAGAACTTCCTCCCGAGAAAGACACACCTGTTGCCTTTTTGTTGCGATCTTCTACCCAAGGATGAAGACCTTTTTGTTCTGTCTAGTGTTTCCTCAGTGATCCCGCCTTCCTGCCCAATGTTTCGTCGTCATTTCCATGTTTTTGTATGTGGGTTTTCGCTTTGGTTTTAAGTTTTTTAATTATGTATTTCTGGACTAGTTGGGTTCCT